CATAAAGGAGAAGGTCATGTGAAGAGGAGCAGAGACTGGAGCAATGCATCTCCAGCCGAAGGACATCATGGACCACCAGAGCTGGAAAGAGGCCGGAACCGATTCTCTTGGGCCTCCAGAAGGAACCCCCTTGTATCACCTTGACATTGGGCTTCTGGCCTCCAGAATTGGGAGAGAATACATTCTGGTTGTTTAAAGCCCCCAGGCTGTGGTCATTGGTTGTGACAGCCCCACATGGACAGGATGTCATGTTCTCAATGAGCCCACAGGAGACAAGGGTGCACAGTGTGCTCAGGAAGGCCTGGCAGGTCCTGGATGCAGAGGTGGAGTTGGAGCTTGAACAGCTATCGTCGAAAACACCAAAGGATCCTGAAACAGTGATTCCAGAGGTTCCCAAGCTGAGTCAGACTCCAGGATGGCTCCAAGTACTTGCCTTTTACAGAAGATCTCAGGGGACACAAATGCACCCCAAACCCAACAGGTGCTACAGGGTATTAGGAAGCCTTGGAGGCTTCATGTAGGTGGGTCAAGAACAGAGATGGGGGGGTGGGGTGCAAAAGACTTAATGGTAGCAGGAGGAGAAGAAGCATCCAGGACAATCTAGGGCCAGGACATGGGGGTGGGTCAAAGAGGCAAAGTGTGAGGAAGAGTCTGTTTCTGACCATGACGCACCACCTCCCACTAAACAGGGCAGCAGCTCGTGCCACCTGGGAAGGTAAAGGGCTTCAGGCTTTTCAACAACACTTCTAAGGCTAAGAGTGAGGGTGAGGACAAAAGGGCCACCATCCTCTGTGGCCATCACCTCCCAAAGAGCCTGAGATTTTTTCTGAATCCCCAGATCCTCAGCATACTCTCAGGAGAGGCTGTGAACAAGCAGCAGAGGAGAGCCTGGGCTTCGTAGGAGCCTGCTATTTCAGATCCCCAAGGGCATTCAAGTGCACCTTGGACTGGACTTGTGGAAACTGATTGGAGACACCATGCCCCCCTGGGAACAGCAGCAGGAGCTATCAGTTCCTCTCTGGGCACAAGGTACCAGCCGTGTCCTGCAGGAGCTCTGGGCTGAAGCCTCTGGGATCTTCAGTCAGGCTGCCCTTTCACAACCCAGTCCTGCTCCACTCCTCCCCAGAGCAGGTGCCTCTCTGGCTGCAGGCCTAGGCTGGGAGGGGTCCTGATGACCCCTGCCAGCCCCTCACCCTGACCTCACAGAGCACACCAGGAAGGAGCATCCTCAGGGTTTTTTAATATTTCACAGTGGGCAAGAAAAGTCAGGGAAGCCATTTCTTTTTGAAATGTTAAAACTGAAATGTGGAAGTTGAAAGGAAATCCAGGATCTACAGAGAGAACAATAGATTCGCCAGGAAAGCATTTATTCTGGACATGGGAAGGGGGAAGGTCAAAATGGGCATGATCAGTTCTGTCTAAAATGACTTCTCTCCAGAACAGAGGACGAGTAACTTGTCTGCCATCAGTGGAACGCCTCTGCGAGCAGTGGAGACTTCCCTCCAGATGCCACTCAGCAAGAGCTGTGCACGGGGACCCTTGCTCCTTTACCTTATCGATGCTTAGACCATTTCTGCAGCCCCAGGCTGCATTCTCCTCCAGCTCTGCCCCTCTCCCCTCTAAGTGCATGGCTGAAGTCAATCCGCAGCCAGCCATGCTAAACTCTGGTGGCCCTGAGCCTCAGAGCCTGGACGCAGAAGCAGAGAGGGAGACCCCTAACTTTGGGGGTGGGGGAGGCTTGCAGCTGGGGAACCCTCTCTTGCCCTCTGCCTGCCCTTTCCAGCCAGGGTTCTGGGGCCAGCCTGTGTGGGCAACTCTCCTGTGTAAGTGCTCCTGCTCCACGGCAGGCAGTGGGACATGCTGGGGGGAGAGCACAGGCATTGACTGTCCTCAGAGCCAGGTGGCTTGGGTTTCAGCTCTGGCTTGCTCATTCACTACAGGAAGCATGATTTTGAAAAAGTACAGAAGTAAGGCACTATGGGAGGCCTGCTTGCACGCCCTAGCCTTACTGCTCCAGAGCAAGGTACAGCTTGTCAGCACCGGCCACTCCGAGGAGGGCTTTTCCTGGCACCTAGAAGGAGCCTGCACTAATGAGCCGTTGGTTGAACCATTGGGAAAACACACAAATAGCTCCACCCTGGGGGGAGGGGCGCAATACCAAAGTGTGTTCATTGCTTCACCAGCACCCAAGAAGGACAGGGCCTCTGGGGCCATGCTGCTATGCTCACTGACGCCCTGTCCTGGTGTTTCATCCTCCCAACTTGATTCCCTGTGCTCCCTGTGCCCCAGCATTCCCTCCACCACAACCCTGTCCTATTCTTGCCCTGAGCGTTATTCCAGTGTAGCTGACACCAAGGCCCCAACACCCCTCAGGGCCTTCCTAGGTAAGAGGGAGCCCACCACATCCATTGGCAGAGGACTGGATGAATGTCACTTTGTGTATGAGATGCCGGCCCCACAGCGCTCAGTGAGTGCCAGCTGTTTTCATAGCCCAGAATTAGGCAGCTCTGTCAGAGAGTGGTACACACAATGGTTACACATGTGTGCAGACCATCAGAACAGACAACAGCCAGCCCTTCCTACCACACACTCAACCTGGTAATAAGGGGCGTTGAGCAGGTGTGCAGGCAGAGAAGAAGCAAGTGGGTTCGGTCCTAGTGGTTCAGTTAAGATGGTGCTGTCTCAAGATCCACAGTCCTCCCGCCCTTCGCCCCTCCCCTGGGAGGCTTTCTACATAATCTTAAGTCATGGTTTGCAGGAGAGATCACAAATCTCTAGATGGCTCAGATAGAAAGAGGTCTTTAAAAAAAAAAAACAAGACAAAATGAAACAAAGCAACTTCTTTGGAGATGCAGAAGAGGCATTGTGGGAGTGCAGATTTTCCCTTTGGGGCCATGAGGAAGCCCCCAAAGCAGGTAAATTCATCATTTGGTTGTAACAGGAAACCTGAGTTCACCACAGGCCCAGACAGTCCAGAAAGGGGCAGAATCAGGGGGCTCATGCCCCAACCCCAGTCTGTGACTTGCAGAAGTCACGGGCTGGGGGAGGAGAGGGTTCTCTCTCAGCAGAGGATGCTGTTTGCAGTTTCAATAATTCATCAGAATGGGTGAGTGGTCACTACATAGATTTGCCTGCCAAGCAGGTATCTCTAACAACAATGATAATAATAATAATAATAATAATAATAATAACAGCAATAATAAAGATTTCAGTTTGTTATAAGGTGTTTGCATCCAGATAGGAAAGTTAATTATATCTCAAAATTGAACAGACAAGTCATCCTCCTCCCTGAGCTGGGTTCCAACATCAGCTTCAAGTGACCTGGCACAGGAGTTCTGTCTTGCATAGGAGAATTTGGCACTGACTTCCTTCGTGGCCACTGTTTCAGACCTCAAGCCAAGCCTGCCCCACTGCATTGCTCTCTGGTATCTGGGAGGCACAGGAAGATGGTCTCTGGCATTCCAAGAGCTCAGTTCATTTTCTAAATCACCTTGCTGACATTAACCCATCCATCTGTATAATGCACTTGTAGAGGTGCTGATGCGGCTGAGCGGAGGCCTGGAGCTTATAGCAATTAAGTGATTTGTCCTGGCTCACAGGAGGGATAGGCATCAGCATCAGCACAGCCTTTGGGAGGCCTGATGCTCCTCTTGGGGTGCAGGACAATGCAAGCCAAGCATCTGCCTCTGCATCTTCCTAAGACACCCCCCCCAACAATACGGGGACCAGCCAGAGTCGATGCAAGGCACACACTAGACACAGTCGAGACGTGACAGCCAAACGCAGTTTTGCTCACTCCCAGCACCCAAAATGGGGTAAGAGCACAGACAAGGAGAGACAGACCTCTTCCCACCATTTCTCAGCCCCGCTCCCACCCCCTGGATCAATGATGGCAGACATCCTCCGAAGCTCACCACTGTTGGTCCAATAGGACTGTTCCCCGCTGCAGGTCCTGTGGAAGCCCAGGGCTGGGGGGACCAGGCCAGTGGGCTCATCCAAGGTGCAAGACTGGGCCCAGCCAATGGCTGGGCGGTGGGCACGGGGAGGAGCCCCAGGCACCGCCCTCCTGGTTGGCACAAGGGGCACTAAAAAGGGGAATGGTAATCAGCACCATTGCTGGGAAAGCAAAGTGGGGTAACGAGAGGGGTAGGGAGAGGATCTCATGGCTCTCTTTTCTCCTGATGCAGTCACCACCCCTGATCTATGTGGCAGCGTGTACATCGTTATATCTTCCAGTGAACACACCTAAACAAGCTGCAGATGCATCTGACTCACCCATAGAAAGACAATGCCCTATATCTATCCCTCGACATTTAGCAAGCTTCCCTGCCTTGTTTCTTACTTTCATAGATTTTTGGGAGGTTTAATTTCTTTAGAGCAGCTACAGATTCACACAGCAAAACCAAGAGAAAGGTACAGAGATATCTCCCAGAACCCATCATGCACAGCCCCCCTTACAGTCAATATGTCCCACAAGAACTGTACCTCTGTTCCAACTAATAGACCTACAACCCACCCGAAGCCCGTGGTTTACGTTAGGGTTCGCTTCCGGGTTGGACATTCTATGAGTTTGGACAAATGCATAAGAATATATATCAATTTCTACCAATATTTGAGGAAATCAGAGATGTAAATCAGACAGAGGTTCCTACTCCCAGCACAGATGAAACTTTTCCTGTTCCTCCACCATCCTACAACAACTTACACTCATGTGGAAGGAAACCTTGCCATGGGAGCCTTCAGAAAAGACAAGAGCCTTGCCCTCCCAGGAAGCAGGGGGCATGTTCTGGACCACTGCCTTGTCTCCAGGGTTTTCTTTACCCCTCCCTGCCATATGTTAAGAAAACAGGGCCAGAGGCAGAAGGGATTCTCGTGCCACATTCTCTATGGAGTTTGTTAATGGTGGGCTCTGAACCAATCTCAGGAGGACTCTGGAAAACTGGCGAGCATATCCTTAGCCAAAGTGAATGCTGCCATGGTTTACCCTTGAGCTTACTCACCGATGTCTGTCTCCTTGTGGTTCTTGATGTATTCTGCCAGCTCAAAGTTGCCTGCTATGATCGCCACCTGCAGATGAGAAATTACATGGAAATTAAGTGGCAGCTGCTGAGCAGAGTGATGGGTTTCTATAGACTTTATATCATTGAAGGCCTTGTGCTAAAGGGCGTCCAGTCACAGCTCTGCAAAGGGCAGCTGGATGTCTATCAACTCACACTGCTCTACTTTGACACTAGAAGCTCCCTCCAGAGCGATGGAGTTATCATACCAGAACCTAAATGAGCCAGGTCTCTGACCAGAGCCATCAAGGGAAATTATCTGAACAGCAATAGAGAATTCTCCGAGGTCAGAGCCTGAAGATCTCACCCCCACCAACCTCTTTCATCCCACATTCCCAGAGGAGTTCCCCAGCTTCACTTCCAGGGGGTCTGTCTTCCTGTTAGATACAAGCCAGCCCCCATAATGGATGGGAGGAAAAGCCTTGAGGAGGTATTTAAAGCTCATCAGATTTCAGTTCAGACCAGAACATTTTGCCCACAAGTGTGGGCACAGCCAGGTGGGAGGCACCAGAAACAATCCCTACAAAAATGATCCCAATGCAGCCCTGTAGACCTGTTGCCTACCGCAAAGACACTGCATGGTGTTTGAGATGTGGGAAGATCCAGGCAGGTAAAGCCTGCCTTTGTGTCCTGGGGATGCCACAAACCAGAGGCCACAGGGAAGGGGTCACAATGCTCAAGAGGGCAGGGAGGCCCTGGGCTCCCAGCCAGCATGTGCGCACCTGCAGAAGAGCTGAGCTCCTGGTGCCAACCTGGGGACAAACACATCTGCAGTGAGGTCACACAAGGTGACACTGGGGGTAGGACCTATTGGTCAGCTGGAGGTCACAAAAGCAAGACCTGCAGCACGCACACCTGCCCCAGATTTCAGGCTCACCAGTCCTACACTCAGGTGAGCCTACTCCTTAAAATAAATGCCTTCCTTTTACACGTACACATATGTGCACACACACATACACAGACGCTCTTTGACTGAGGAGGGTTCAACGTCAACAAAGCCATTACAATATTTTAAGTCAAAAATGCATTGGATGCACCTCTCCCACGGACCATCACAATCCCTCAACAGCGCACCCTGCTGGCGTTGCTGGTTCTCGCTTCTGACTGAGGCCCTGGGACCCCTGGGAGCTGTGGCTTGTCATCACTGCCCAGCACTGCCAGAGAGCAGTGTACTATAGGTGGCTACCCCAAGATGTGGTTTTTCTATGAAATGGAATACTACTCAGCCATGAAGAATGAGAAAGTAGATTCATTCATAGGAAAATGGATACATATTGAGGATATACTCCTAAGTGAAATAAATAAGTCACACATGTGCAAATACCAAATATTTTCTCTGGTGTGAATAAACTATAGTAGTACAGAAGATCCTAATGATATAATTAGCAATATGAAATAGGAAGGCAGGGGCTAAAGATGTGGGGAAAGTGGGAAGGGTAGGGGAAAGGTAATAAGGGCAAAGAAAAAAATATGATAAAATGAAAAAATGAAATTGAAGTGTTTGTAAAGGGGGAGGGGAGGAGGGGGTGAAGGGAGGGCAGGGACAAGGGGAAAAATGAGAACCAAGACCTGTCATGTAGAGGTACAAGATCTCAATAATGAATGTAACTGTACTGTATACCTAAAATGTACCGATAAACTCCTGAGGAAAAAAATAATTAGTAAAAAGAAGAAAAGGCCAAGAATCAAAATCAGAAGTACAGTTTGTACTGAATGCATGTTGCTTTCACACTATCATTAAGTTGAAAAATCATAAATCAAACTATTATAAGTCGAGGTCCTTTTCTGTCTGTCTCTCTCTCTCTCTCTCTCTCTCTCTCTCTGTACTGTGCACATAACAATGGCTACTGCAGTTAGGCTTATGTTGTGTGTATTTTAACACAATTTTTTTAAAAGGCAAAATTCCACCTGTGTAGAGCAGCAGGTGAGAAAGCCAAGAGGGAAGCTGGCTGGGGATCCACCCTGAGGGGCTGCCAGGGAGCTGGGAGATGAGTTAGACCAGCTGAGGGAGAGGCAGAAGAGGCCTCCAAAGTAGCCAGTGAGCAGCTGAAGTCCTCGCCCTAAAGCACGGCCCCTCCTGGGATTTGCCTCTGCACGGTGGGTCACCAGTTTACAGCATCCCTCCCACTGGGCATGGAGGTGGGAAAGGCAGATGCCCAAGGAAGCACCCAGGCTACTTCCAGTCAGAGAGGCAGAGGCCTGAAGTGGCCCCTAAGGGAGGGCCTGCCCCCATTCCCCTGCTCTTAGACCCCCTGACTTAGTTTCTAGATCTCAGCTAGGGATATTAGATTCAGCAAACCCTGACCCATGCCCAGGTGCCCAGCTGAGTGGCAGTCTCCCTCTCTGGGACCCTGATCCTGTGCTGTTTTACGGTATTATCTGGCCCCTCTGCCACAGGAGAGGGCTCCACTCACCTGTTCCCAGAGCCAAATGCCTCATGTGAAAGTGGCAGAGGGATAGAGACAGACCACAGAGGTGAAAGGCCTGTGTGCAAGTTCCAGATACATACTACCTGGCACTGTGTATTGTGTTTAACCCTCAAGCGTCAACTTTCCCATCTGTGAAGTGGGCAGCTGTGAGGACTTGGTGAATCATGAAGGTAAAGTTTAGGGCAGTGGTAGGTATGGGAAGAACCCTGAAGTTTGCTGTCAGAATGACTTTCCTGACGACTTATGTATCAGCAGTGGAACACTCATGCAGAAGTTACCCGAGCCCCACAAACAGACAGCCAGACACACAGGTACATCCTAGGCTGCCCTCGAGTGCACCCAGAACCGCTGCCACCAATGGCAAGAAAGGAGATCAACGAGCAGCTCACACTTCCACGGAAGAGCTCTAGGCACTGTCAACCTAGTACCAAAGCCAAGGCTGCTGCATTGTCCAGTTAAAGTAATTCTGCCTGCGATGAAAAAGAGACAATGCACAGGTGACAATGGCCAGTTTCTCCCAGGCTAGGAACAATGTCTCAGGCAGTAGGTGGCCACCTTCCTGCATTACTACCCTGTGTTCAGCCCACCACAGGTCCCCGTACAAGTCTAATAGCAGAGGTGGTACAAAGACTGGGTGAGGACACTTCAGTGCCAGGCACTGGCTCGTGTCTCCTGGTTTCAGATGCACAAAGGAGCCCGGATGTGGGGGGCTGTCCAGTTGGGTCTCAGGCATGCTTGTCTGTAACTACAATGCAAATGTCACGAACACTGCATATGCACCACTTGGTGTCTGAGTGCCTTACACGATTGAGTCTTTTGGTCCTCCCTCTAGGAGGTGGGCATCAGTATCTGCTGGACAGATGAAACGGAGGCACAGAGAGCTCATGTGACTACACGACTCACAGAGCTAGTTCGTGTCAAGGCCCAGACATTTAGCCAAACTGTTCAGATCCAGAAACTTCCTCTAATGAACACAGCACAGAATGAGTATATTTTGTGGACTGCAACAGTTTTTAGAGTTGGCTTTTAATAGCACTGGTTCTTGTGGTCACTCCTAGTTACAAGCACCTGATGCCCTCACTAGGTCTTCCTGGAATGAAGCCCCTATGATGTCTTTGATGGGGGACCCTTTGCTGATGCTGACAGGTCCCTCCCTGAGGCAGACACCAAGACCACCTCACGGAGAACCAGAGCAAACAGGACCTGATGCCTGGGGACCCGGGGACTCTGTCGTTGACATTCAGGGCCACAGAGACCCCAGAGGATGCAGGGCCAAAGCATTAGCCACACCTCCTCCAACAGAAGTGCTGGTCCTCTCTGCGTCCTTGGAGTGAGACCCCAAAGAGTACGTGGCTTGCACTTCACAGAATCAACTGGCCAGTGGTGGTGGTGATGGGATTAATCTGTTTTCATGACTCAAATATTGACAGTTGAGTTTTCTTTGGCACCTCAAACATTTATACATAACATTAATTCAATCTCATGCTCTCCGAGGCACATCATCAAAATCTGTGCTATGACAATCTATTAGGAATTAGGATGGTGGAAAGATGATCACACTCATGGTTGGAAAGTGACAGAGCAGGGTGGACTTGGCTTTACGGGGAAAGGGACACTGGATACCACGTCTTGTGCAGGGCTAGCTGGAGCCTAGGCTGTGCCACACATATTGTCCTCATCCCTCCCAGCCATCATCCGGAAGCCTCTGCCATCTCCTCTATTACATGCATCTCAGCATCTCGTTACCGGAGTATCACAGTGTGCCTAATACCCATGCATCCTGCAGGGCTTGGAGGAAATGCAGCAGGCATGTCCACCTACAGCTCTGCATTCTGCCATGCACCGAGTCCTCCTTATACCCTAAGGCAGCCCTGCAGTGCTCTGCCAAGTAGGTACGAAACCACCCTCCCCTCCCCAGGTGTCATCCCTGTGCCTCGAAGCTGAGCCTATTTCAATATTCTGACCTGATCTGCATGAAGTTGTCCCAACATCCATCAGTCCCTGCACCCACCCATCAAGGAGACCTTAGGTTTTAAGGGGCTCACTGTGGCCCATGTTACTTTCCCCTGGCCCAGTGCCCCCCACAGATTCAGGAACAATTGACTCAAGGACTAGGCATTTTTGAAGAGCCGACACCACCATTGCAAGGCCTGAAGATTACGTGAATCCTGGGGCAAAGGTCCCGGGTGCAAAGGGGCCCAGAGTGTTTAGGGGTGCCCTGGAAGGGGTCATGAGTGTAGCAGCCAGGGCCCCAGAAGTACTGTGCATCACCACCTCCACCCACGCTGGGCACTGCCTGCAGTCTTTCCTGATGCTGTCTATACACCCGCTCTATGTTGCACACAACAGTCTGGTAGAAACCCAATGCAACCCTTGGCTTCCCACCCCAAGGGCTGCAGTCCTGCTTATAGAGGCGAAGCCTTGATCTTGAACTTCCAGCCTCTAAAACTGTGAGAAATAAACTTCTGTGGCTCCTAAGTTGCCCAGTCTGTGGTGTTCGGTGGCAGCAGCCTGAACAAATCAAGACAATGTCCATCCTTTCCAATCTGTCGCCTGGGTGAGAGCAAGGCTCACTCAAGAA